AGCCTTAGCTTTTAGTTCAAGCTTTTAGTCTGAGCTTTTATTCTTATATATAATTTATATTTATTTGTCTTTGTATAAATTAAGTTTTTATATAGTTTATATAATTATTTATATAAATTAACTAATAAAGATATGAGCAAGGCCTCACCTTAATACAAAAAAAAAAAAAATTAGAACAAAGCACCTTGGTCTAAAGCTTACAAAATTAAAAGCCACTCAAGAGGCTTCTTTAACAATCTAGTAAACAAAAAAGTCAAAAAAGAAGCAAATAGTATAGGAATCATAAACCTAATAGCTTTAAGTACTAAAATATAAAAGATATAGTATAAATTTGAAAAAGAAATATTAGAGAGGACAATTTGCTTATTTGTGAAAATAGTAATAAAGTAAAGTGGATATATATATATAACAGACAAAACACAATATTTCAAGAGAGAAAGCCTATATAGCACTAACCAAGCTTTTACAAAATCTTAAAAAGTAAAAAAAAATACAAGACTATATATTAAATATGAATACTCTCTAGCTTTTTAAAACAAAATATACAAACAGCCTGCTAATAGTCTTAAAAATACTCAATCAAAAAAACTAAATATATAGAAATAAGTTAGTAGAAAAAAGACAAATTTTTTTAAGCAAGAATTTAAACTTAAATATCTCAACAACTATTTAATTAAATTTAATAAATTTTTTTTTATTTTAATTTTATATAATTTCAAAATTAAAATAAAAAAATTTTTGCAAATTTGTTTAAATAATTGTTGATATATTTTAATTTAAAAATTAAAAAAAGTTTAATAAAACAATTTGTCTCTTTTCTACAGACTCACCTCTATATATAGATTTGATATATATAATATATCAAAAAAGGTCTAAGATAGTTGAACAATTGGTAAGCTGCAAAGTCTCAATATATTTGATAAAAGAGATAGAAAAATAGGCAATAAAAAGTAGTCTAAAAAAGTTGAAAAAGATAAAGAGTTTAGAAACTAAAAAAGAAGAAGTTTTTACAATAATAAAGAAGAGCAATATAGATAAATAACCAAAAAGAAGAGAACAATAAATACATAGCCTTATTATTAAACAAGATTATACAAAAATAAGATCTTTTTTCAATATAAATCATCAAGCAACAGATTTTATTACCACACTTCGAGAAACTTAAATAAGCTTGATATACAAAAAAATCTAGTTAACAAGATACAAACTAGTGAATAAGTAGAAAAAAGAATGTAGAATATTAGCAAAAGAAAAGAAAAGAATTTTAAAAAATAAGAATATTTAAAGAATAAGAAAGAAAATTAAAAAAAAAAAAGAAAAAAGTAACAAAGAAAAAAAGGAAGTATGTTAGAATAAAATATTAATTTTGACAAAAAAAAAGGGTAGTAAAGTAGACCAAATATAACTAGCATACAAATTGGTAAAAAGATTAGTTAGCAGTCTTAACAAGCTATAAAAACTATCTAATAATATATTAGCTAGCCTGAAACAAAATTAGTTAATAAAGATAAAATTCAACTATAGTAAGTTACATATAGATATTCTTTGAGCAACTGAGTAAGTTAATATTTGTAAATTGCTAAAGATGTCAAGCAAAATAGCTGCTTGAAAATTTTGTATTCAATATATTAAAATCTATAAAGCTAATAAAGTATTGACAAGACTGCCAAAAAGAAAAAAGAAGATTTTGTTCTAAACTTATAGTATTATAAAAGGTATAAAAAAAATTTTTAATCAGTTGTGTAATTATTAAGTGATTCAGGTATTCATTATCTATATCAATGATTACATCATCTATATTATAGTTAGATATTTGTTTGATTGGCTAATGTAAATCAATTTTCTGGATAACTTATTTATATACTTTAAAGTACTTTTTGATAATATTATATAGTATAACCTGTCAAAACTAATATACATGGTAGACTAAATTTGTATCAGTTTTGATAGGTTATCAGATTTGAAGGGTAAAATTACTATATTTAATTAAGAGATGTGGATCAATTTTTTATCAGTTTTGACAGGTTATTAGTTTTGACAGTATTGGTTTTGACAGGTTATACTATATTTTACTAATAAAAAATCAACACAAAAGCTATTTTTAGCTTTAAATAACCATTAATATTCATTATGCAAAAGAATCTCAAAATGATCTCACTTCTTATAGACTTTGCTTAGAAGACAAAATATATTACCCTCTATTGGCTATGTGAAATTATATAGAATAAAGGTAACTAGGGATGTTTTTTGTCTAACCTATTTTTATTATGTTAGATTAAATAAACTTTTATTTCTAATTGTTTAATTTGAATAGATACAAGCTTTTAGCAATAGAAACACTGGCTTAATACTTAAATTTGTTGATTCTTGTAGTGTATTAGAATTTGTTAGTTATAAATTAATAGTTAAATATTGGTTTATATTCTTGTATAGATTCTTCAATGAGTTTAGGTTTATTAGTAATAAATATCATATTCACCAACTTTACATGTACCTATCTATTCTCTTTTTCTAATTCTAATTAATAAATTCTTTTGTCTTTATGTATGTTTTTTAATACTGTAGTATTTATTAAAAATTATGTATTTTGATTGGTTAATGATCACAGGAAATCACGGGTAGATTTACAAAAATTAACAAATCATACAAATGTCTGCCCATGACAAAAATTTTCCCCTCCCGTGATTTTTGGTCAATCAAATTTCAAGATCAGGTGTAACGTAAACAAACGAAGCGAACCCTTTTTTTACAAATAAACTGAAATAACTCGAAATTTTAATTAAGAAACTACCTTCTGCGGCCTAATTAAAAATGTTCCTTATGAGATTTTACTAATAACAATAACCCTAACTCTAACCCTAACTCTACACTGTTCTCGCTCTAACCCTAATTATAACGCGGTTTTTTTAAATTACGGGGTAGGATGATTTTTGTGGGTGTGCTACCTAAAATTACCATACCCTAGTACGTACAGGGGTTGTTGGTCATCACCATAACACCAGGTCAAGCCAATAATCATCTCAGAATTAAATATAAATAAAAAACCCCAATAATAAATCATTGTTTTTTGATTAAATTTGTAGGTTTACTTATATTAATAGCTTAGCTTTGCCGGAAACATAGATTTTCATCAATTTTTTAATGGGAACGCCAGAATTTCGTTAATAATATAGTTATCTTCACTTTTTTTTTTTTTTTTTTTAGCGGGAGTACTAGTTTTTGTCACTTTAAGTTTCGGTTTCGACTTTCGTCAGTAGGATTTGAGGGTTTCGACTTTCGTCAGAAGGATTTAAGGTTTCGACTTTCGACAGAAGTTTCGTCATTTAGAGCTTAGTTTCGACTTTCGTCATCAAAAAAAAAAAGGTTTTGTCTAACAACTGTAGTTTCCACTATATAGTTTATTTTTTCAAATCCGATAACCCCTTGGTAATAATACAGTTTGTTCACCATGCATATCGGTTTTGAAAGGTTTACAGTATATTATAATGCATCATGCGATATAATGTTGCATTATGTTATGCAAGGCAAAAGAAACTTACACTCGCACATCTCTATTCCTGATAACCTGATTTAGAGTAAGTTTTATATATAAACAATTTTATTAATCATGTTTAATAAAATCGCAAATTCCCGATCAAGCTCTTAAAATGTTGTGAATTTTTACAAAAACCGTGGTGGAGCCACGGGTCAAATGCTGTTTTATAATACAGGAAATGATTGTAATAATGCATATAACTCTAATAATTTATGCAAATTTACGTGCTTTACATTACGGAAAGACCGGAAATTTTTATGTAGCTAAAATTATGAAAATAAGTTCGTGATGTCTTCTTGAAATTGTTGTTAGTACGCCCTGTTAAAAATCAAATAAAATAAATAAATAAGAGATTTACGAAAAAAAGAAATCTATTTAATCTTTTTTTTTAAAAAAAAATTTCTTCTCTTATTTCACATTGGTTTGCGAGAAGGTAATGAGATAGAGATAATTATTATGACAAAACACTTATATTTGAATTTTCAAAGCTTGATCAGAGCGTATATCTTCATTTACTGTACTTAATTATGCAAATGAGTGCCGTCAAGGAAAACCCATATTCGTGTTTTTAATTATATTTGTGTCTAAAGCTTTGATCGAAGCTATCTCGATAACTGCTGCACCAAATTTGATGAAAATTTTTTATTCGAATTCTATAGATATGTAGAATTTGAATAAAAATTTTCATCAAATTTGGTGCGGTATTCGTTGAGATAGCTTCGATCAAAGCTTTAACGCAAATATAATTAAAGTCACAGATATTGGTTTTCCCTTGACGGCACTCAAATTATCGTAATAATATATAGTGCCTTCAACGTGGACTATCATTAAATCCGAATTCTTTATAAATATTCATCCCCTATGCTTGTAGCCTGATCTCTCGTATTCAAGTCTCTCCCTGATTACAACGACACACTCGCGAATAACAAGCGTGTCATAACATCTCATATTTCACTTTATTTGTTTATATTTCATATATTCAATTTTTTAGAGACTATGGCACGAAAGAGGTATCACATTCACTCAAGGTTAACCAGGAATTATTTGAGATTATAACCTTACTATTATCATTACACATCAGGTTAAAATTTTTAGTAAAATGCATTCATTTTATCATAATACAGACGATAAGGTTTTTATATGAAGAATCGATTATGATTGAAAATTACATTATATAAAACGCTGGATTTTTTAACTGAGAATAATTTAAAAACTGAGAATAAATCTATTCAACATATAAATTATAAATTTGCTACAAGTTTTAATTTAAAAATATCTAAATATTATATAAGCTTAGTAAAATAATAATAATAATAATAAAATTTAACCTTTAAAAATATTCATAAATCACATTATGTATGCGTATATATATAGTATACAATAAGTTAAGTTTGTTAAAGTCAAATACAAAAAAATGCAAATAAGATTTTATAGTCACTCACTGGTTATTTAATGTATATTGTTCTTATTTAAAATCTGTTAAGAAAAGTTCAACTTCTTCCAAAGCTATGCGATCAGGAGGATTATAGTTGCAGCATTTTTCTACAACTTTTCTTAATCCACCCGGTGTATCTCTTTCTTTAAGATCATCAATCAATCCACTAATGTTTTTGGAAAGCTTAGCTTCTTTAATTTCATCATTATCCATACTATCATAAGGTCTATATAGAATGAAACATTTAATATTATACATAATTGTTATATCATAAAATGTTCAAAGATTAGTTGAATTTAACATACTCTTTCCCATTCATTAAAATTTCCCACGCAACTAATCCGAAACTATAAATGTCTACAAAAAAGAATTAGTTAACTGATAAATAAAATATATTTAACCATCAAAATTTAAATATACCCGAGAGATCTGGCTGATCTTTATAATATTCCTTCATTTTTGGATCGTCAGAAATGTATTCAGGTGAGGCCCATTGAAGTGATCCTGTTATATTAGAAATATATTCATAAGTTTGCTATGCAAAAGCAATAAAATTGCAAGAAATTTATTTACCGCCATTCTCATATCCAATATCCAATCCAGATTTCATATAGCTAAACCCGAAGTCCGCAATTTTTACTGTCAAATTATGATCAACAAAGATATTCTTAGCCTTCATGTCCAAATGCGCAATGTTATGTTCATGACATGCTAGTAATCCTCTTGAAATATCAACAATCCATCGTGTTTTAAGTTTCCAGTCAAGTAAATTTTTTGAAAGATAATCTTGTAAATTTTCATTGCTTGCATATTCCATAACTATGCAAATCTTGTCATTTGGCTTTCTGACCACACCAAAGAAAGTTATTACATTTTTTATATTCGCATTCCTAAGGTGACGATGCTTTCTAAGTTCTCGGATTATTTTATTCACGTTCATTTTGCCATCAAAATGCTTTACTATAAATATGAAAATTAATATTATCATGAATATGTGAAATTTGTTTTTAGGCTTTTTTGGAGTCATAAAATGATAGAAAACCTGCAATTTGACGTTGATTGTATGTTCCAAGTTGAATATTTGTTTTATTAGATTTATTCTCGTAAATTTTGCTCTCATTCCAGTTACCATCCTTATGAGAAATAACAATGCTTTGACTCATATTCAATAAACTATAGAATAAATTCTATGATTTTAAAATCAAGTATTTCGAACGGCATATTTATATATGTTATGAATGTTTTGTTTGATAATCATGTATTTATGCATCAAGATAACAAATAGTGGTACGTATGTTGAAATGAATAAAATAACCAATAAAATTTCAAAATACGAGCCCCTTTCTAATCAAGTTTACAACGTACGTACGTAGGACTGCATAACGAACTAACGCCGTGACTGCCATATTATACGTGTTGAATAAAAGGAATACATTGCACGAAATTTAAGATTTTCAATCTTAACCAATCTATTTTTCCAAATATATGTATGTAATGTAATCATGTTATGCACGTACGTACATGCATACGTTGGATTGTTTCGTACGATCAACAGCAAAAATTTCCTTAAATTTCAGGGAAGGCAATTTAAATCAGTCTTTTATTTAAGAATACATATACGTATTTGAAATTGCTACATATTGTTATTGTTATTTCTATTTCTATTACTATTGTTATTTCCTATTACTATTGCTATTTTTGCTATTTTTTTGCTATCCCGATTGTCTGTAGGTTCACAGGCCTTGCTATTAGGAAGTTTAGAGATAATTTGAAAAACTTTATCTTCTGTAATTTCGGATCTCTTTTTGTATGGTCCCACTCACCTATATTTAAAAGAGATTTGTTATTTATGTTGCATTGATATTTCCATTGCTACTTCAATTGATTGCTATTTCAATTGCGTTAAAATTCAGGTCATCATTTTTAGCTTTTTTATGCAGATATTAACTTCAGCACGTTAATACAGTCAAACTTCAGTTATATTTTCACTAAGTTATATACCTCAAACTTTCTAGACAAAGGGGTGATATAACTGAGGCTTGACTGTTTTTTAATTATGAATTTTGTAAATCAAATGAATTCCGTATATTAACATTGTGAAGACAATAGTAATAATCATCATCTTAAATTTCCCCACCACTCTGATTGGTTCTACTAATTAATCACATATCGGAATACTCCGATAGTGAAGTGAGAATTTAGCGTATGCATGCATGCACACACTGATTGTTAGATGCATTGTGGTAATTAAACTCCAGAAAGTTTGTTCCATATAGAATTTGGTTATCTATAATAATTTTATAACGATAATACAATTGTTCAGTTCGATCTTCAACCCGTAGATCAATTCTTTATTTGTTAATTCATTGTAATATGAGCCACGCAATGATTTGCCATACCCAGTGTTAGGATCAGCATATTGATTAACGAAGAGTGCGCCAGGGCGACTACCAAAAGTCCGATCAGATGATAAGGCGCCACAGCCACATCATAATTTCTTCGAAAATTGTTGAATCTACATACCGA